AGTGTTGATGGTGCCAGTTGGTGTGGTGGTGATGGTGCAGTTATTGGTGAGTGGTGATGGTGGTAAAGGTGTAGTAGTGATTAGTGGCACCATTGGTATGTGTGATGGTGTGGCAGTGGTGTGGTAGTATTGATGGCACCGGTGGTGTGTGTGGTGGTGATGGCGATGTGTAGTTATCTCTCTGTGTGTTCATTAAACAGTAGATTACAGGGGATCACTGACAAGGTTCTCGCCTAATGACATGATAACTGGTTTAAAGGACAATTTTGTTAAAAAATATCCTATCTGAAAAATTTTTCCCAAGGATTGTTACTGAAAATTATCATGAAGTGCATAGTTAAGGACATTGGATTAATTAAAGGCAATATAAATATAATAATGTAGACATAGTAGATAATATTAATAGAAAAATGACATGATAAGCACAGTAACAATGTGAAGTGGTTCAACAGTCCTCGGCGTGAAACTCTGTATGAGGTCCTCTCGTGCTGACTAGCTCTCCCCCCTTCATTTCTCCTTCATTTTCCTTTTTCCTTTCTTCATTCCTTCTTCTTCCTTCTTTCTCTTCCTTTCCTCTTCCCCTCTTTCTCCTCCCTACCTCCTTCCTCTGACCTCCACCTGCAGACCTTGATGAAGTGTGCGCCGGTGTCTTTTAAATAATGCTGAGCTGTGGTGAGACGCTGTATCCTCCACTTTCATGGATTTTCAGAATTAAATTGTAATTTTTACCGATGCGACAGGCTCTATCATGAATTTCTGTTTATATGGTTGTTGTTATCGTGACATCGTTTTCTGTTTGTGTAGATTTATTTTTCTGTCATGCTGGGTTTATCGATTTCTGTTTGTGTGGATTTTTTTTTTTTTTTTTTTTTTTTCTGTCGTGCAGGCATGTCTCGTTTTCTGTTTGTGTTGATATATTTTCTGTCGTGGGCTTGTCGTTTTCAGTTTATGTGGATTTATTTTCTGTCATGGGTTTGTCGTTTTCTGTTTGTGTGGATTTTTTTTCTGTCGTGGGCTTGTCGTTTTCTGTTTGTGTTGATATATTTTCAGTCGCGGGCTTGTCGTTTTCTGTTTGTGTTGAGTTATTTTCTGTCGTGGGCTTGTCGTTTTCTGTTTGTGTTATGTTTTCTGTCATGGGCTTGTCGTTTTCAGTCGCAGCTTCCATCTCGTTGTTAAATATTTGCGATTGCCGAAAACCCCCTCTGAAATTTTTGTTTTTCCTGCGGCAAACAAAGTAATGCCAAATTAAATTCCAGACAATAATTTATGCCGCGAGAAAAATTACTATTTAATATGGTAATTTTTTGTGAGTTGCCAGAGGCACAATCTTCTCTGTTCTTAATCTTTTTTCATTTATTGATTTGTGAAGGCGAACGAAGAGGAGTATGTCACCGATGAAAGGAATTTTATGAACCAGTGTGTCGGGGCCAGTGTAGTCAGGCTGCGGCAGGTCTGGAATCTTGAGGACTGTGGCGAATAATTTGCCAACCACAGGAATCTGGTGGAGTTTTCTCCTGGTGCGGTACGTCTACTCCTGCTCCAGGAGAGTCAACTGTTCGTGTTCAGTTTAGAGCCTTTTGTTAGCAGTCAGCACACCCACATAACTACCCACCAATAGGAGTGTGAGTCCCACCAATATTTTGTTTCGAGATACTGTCATTGTTTCCACTCGTATTATTATATATTTAATATTAGAAAAAATCACATTGTTCAGAAGGAACGGGAGATGCTACACAGTTAGCTTGGAATACTGCGGTACTGGTGGTGTGGTAGTGATGTTGGCCTTGGTGTACTGGTGATGGTGCCTTTGGTGTAGTGGTATGGTGCCAGTGGTGGTGTAGTGGTGATGATGCCTTTGGTGTATTGGTGATGGTGCCACTGGTGGTGTAGTGGTGATGATGCCTTTGGTGTAGTGGTATGGTGCCAGTGGTGGTGTAGTGGTGATGATGACACGGGTGGTGTAGTGGTGATGTGTAGACGGTGGTATGTCGATGGTGGTAAGGTGTAGTAGTGATGCCTGTGGTGTAGTGGTGATGGTGCCAGTTGTGGTGTGGTGGTGATGGTGCCAGTGATTGTGGTGGTGATGGTGTGGTTGGTTGTGGTGCTGATGGTGTAAAGGTGTAGTAGTGATGATGCCGGTGGTGGTGTAGTGGTGATATTCTGTGGTGTAGTGGTGATGATGTGAGGTGTAGTGATATTGTTACGGGTGGTGGTGTAGTGCTGATGAACGGGTGGTATGTCGGTGATGGTGGCAGTGGTGTAGTAGTGATGATGCCTGTGGTGTAGTGATGGTGCCAGTTGTGGTGTAGTGGTGATGGTGCCAGTGGTGTAGTGGTGATGGTGCCAGTTGTGGTGTAGTGGTGATGGCGGTAAAGGTGTAGTAGTGATGATGGCACCATTGGTATGTTGGTGATGGTGGCAGTGGTGTAGTAGTGATGATGGCACCGGTGGTGTGGTGGTGATGGTAGCAGCGACGTAATAGTTATCTCTCTCTGGCTGTGTTCATTTAAACGGTTGATTACATGGGGATCACTGACAAGGTTCTGGCCTAATCACATGATAACTGGTTTAAAGGACAATTTGGGTAAAAACTATTCTATCTGAAAACCTTCCCCAGGATTGTTACGAAAAACTATCATAAAATACATAGTTAAGGACATTGGATTAATTAAAGCCACTAAAAAAATAATAATGTAGACATAGTAAATAATATTGTAGAAAAATGACATAGTAAAGCACAGTAACAATTGTGAAGTGGTTCAACAGTCGTGAAACTCTGGCCTTGAAGGTCCTCTCGTGCTGACTGGCTCTCTCCCCCCTTCCATTTCTCCCTTCATTTTCCTTTTCCTTTCTTCATTCCTTCTTCTTCCTTCTTTCTATCTTCCCTTTTCCTCTTCCCCCTCTTTCTCACTCCCTACCTCCTTCCCCTCCCTGACCCTCCACCTGCAGACAGTGAAGTGTGTGCCCGGTGTCTTTAAATAAAATGCCTGAGCTGTGGTGAGACGCTGTATCACTCCACCACTTTCATGGATTTTCAGAATAAATTGTAATTTTTACCGATGCGACGGGCTCTATCATGGCGTTTTCTGTTTATGTGGATTTATTTTCTGTCGTGGGCTTGTCGTTTTCTGTTTGTGTAGATTTATTTTCTGTCATGGGTTTGTCGATTTCTGTTTGTGTGGATTTTTTTTCTGTCGTGGGCATGTCGTTTTCTGTTTGTGTTGATATATTTTCTGTCGTGGGCTTGTCGTTTTCAGTTTATGTGGATTTATTTTCTGTCATGGGTTTGTCGTTTTCTGTTTGTGTGGATTTTTTTTCTGTCGTGGGCTTGTCGTTTTCTGTTTGTGTTGATATATTTTCAGTCGTGGGCTTGTCGTTTTCTGTTTGTGTTGAGTTATTTTCTGTCGTGGGCTTGTCGTTTTCTGTTTGTGTTATGTTTTCTGTCATGGGCTTGTCGTTTTCAGTCGCAGCTTCCATCTCGTTGTTAAATATTTGCGATTGCCGAAAACCCCCTCTGAAATTTTTGTTTTTCCTGCGGCAAACAAAGTAATGCCAAATTAAATTCCAGACAATAATTTATGCCGCGAGAAAAATTACTATTTAATATGGTAATTTTTTGTGAGTTGCCAGAGGCACAATCTTCTCTGTTCTTAATCTTTTTTCATTTATTGATTTGTGAAGGCGAACGAAGAGGAGTATGTCACCGATGAAAGGAATTTTATGAACCAGTGTGTCGGGGCCAGTGTAGTCAGGCTGCGGCAGGTCTGGGATCTTGAGGACTGTGGCGAATAATTTGCCAACCACAGGAATCTGGTGGAGTTTTCTCCTGGTGCGATACGTCTACTCCTGCTCCAGGAGAGTCAACTGTTCGTGTTCAGTTTAGAGCCTTTTGTTAGCAGTCAGCACACCCACATAACTACCCACCAATAGGAGTGTTAGTCCCACCAATATTTTGTTTCGAGATACTGTCATTGTTTCCACTCGTATTATTATATATTTGATATTAGAAAAAATCACATTGTTCAGAAGGAACGGGAGATGCTACACAGTTAGCTTGGAATACTGCGGCACTGGTGGTGTGGTAGTAATGGTGGCTTTGGTGTACTGGTGATGGTGCCAGTGGTGTAGTTGTGATGGTGCCAGTGGTCGTGTAGTGATGATGCCTGTGGTGTAGTGGTGATGGTGCCGGTGGTGGTGTAGTAGTGGTGATGATGCCTGTCGTGTAGTGGTGATGGTGCCAGTGGTGTAGTGGTGATGGTGCCAGTGGTGGTGTAGTGATGATGATGCCTGTCGTGTAGTGGTGATGGTGCCAGTGGTGGTGGAGTGGTCATTATGTCGATGGTTTATTGGTGATGGTGCCACTGGTGGTGTAGTGGTGATGGTGCCACTGGTGGTGTAGTGGTGATGATGCCTTTGGTGTAGTGGTATGGTGCCAGTGGTGGTGTAGTGGTGATGCCTGTGGTGTAGTGGTGATGGTACCAGTGGTGGTGTAGTGGTGATGGTGCCAGTGGTGTAGTGGTGATGGTGCCAGTGGTGGTGTAGTGGTGATGATACCTGTGGTGTAGTGGTGATGGTGCCAGTGGTGTAGTGGTGATGGTGGCAGTGGTGTAGTGGTGAGGGTGCCAGTGGTGGTGTAGTGGTGATGATGCCTGTGGTGTAGTGGTGATGGTGCCAGTGGAAGAGAGCTACTATCGGTAATGTTTCCAGTCGTGGTTGGTAAATTGTGGGCGTGATGAGTGTGGGCTGTAGGCGTGATGAGTGTGGGTTGTGGACGTGATGAGTATTGGATGGGGGGAGGGAGAGTAGGCATAGTAAAAACTGGTTTAATTGAACACACGGCTTGTGCTTAATGAGGGAGACTCACTGGTGATTCCGTTTTGATGATTAATGAGTGCATTTTACCTGTGTACTCGGTGAGTTATGTGCTGTACTTGATTGATTTTTTTGTGTATATCAGTATCAGTATTTTATTATGGTAATTCCCTTATATCTTGGTACAGTGAAGTGAAGAAGCTGGGACATATATACTGTACTGTACTGTACTGTGCTGTACTGTACTGTACTGTACTGTACTGTACTGTACTGTACTGTACTGTACAGAAAAAGTGTGAAGATCAAGGAAGTATATGACTGTTATTCAGAAAAGTTCCCTAATGCATGGTGAGGCTACGCCCTGTAGACGGCCTGGGTGGGGACACTCGTCAGCCGAAACTGCTGTCAGCTGACACTCACCTACGTCGACAATCAACTGATGGACGCTCACATGTGCAGGCAGGTGGTAAACGTGTACATGTACAACCACCAGATACACGTACACGCCTACACTCAAGTGATGTACGTTCACACACGCGGAGGAGAGGTAACCAGTCAGGTGAGCCGTGCGATACCTGGCCGAGCCCCCCATCAGTGTACAGCCTTCCATCATCAACCGCCCGCCAACAAGTAGTTCCAGGTGACACGTTCTCTCACCTGCCTCACGCAGTCGTGTGCTCGGTCGTAGACAAGGGCGTGGCCAAGGAAGCGCCTCGCCAACAAGGACTCTCCCTCACCTCCAACGAGGCAGGTGTGGAAGCTGTCATAAATAAGACTAGTGATGGAAATGTGAGAGGCGCGCTAGTGAGTAGGGTAGAGGTGAGGAGTGAGGAGAACGTCCCTGTAGAAGGCTGCTCGTCCTCCTCATGGCTGTCGTCGGATGCACTGTGTTTGTTGTTCTGCTGCAGGAGAGAGCCCCGGGAGGAGGGGGCGGCGGCACAGGAGAGCGCTGGTATGACCGTGTATAAGGTCAGGTATAACGCCCGCCGCCATAGTCACCTGGTCCACGCCCTACTCCTGCGTCCCGGTGAGTCCCGCAGCCTGTACCACCTTTTACACACACACACACACACTTAGCTAAACGTCAGACCACAGCCAGTACCTCATACTTATAAACTTAACTGTTGGTTGTATAGTATTGGACTTATTTCTGTTGTATCCTGTTATTCAGCTGGTGTAGTTATACTGAGGTGGTGTGTTACTGCTCTCGCTCTCACTCACTCATTCACTCACTCACTTTCACTCACCTACATTCACGCAAACTCTCCTTAACTCACTCACTCACTCTTAGTATTGTGGTAGAGGGAAATGTATTCTCCATCCTTCCCATCGTTTTCCCCTCCCCCCCCTCTTCCTCTCCTCCCTCCCCCTATTCTTCTCCCTTTCCCCATTGTTCTCTCTCACTTAGCTCCTGCCTTTCTTCCTCTCAACCTTTTCCCCCATTCTCTCCGTCGCTCTCTCTTCTATCCTCTCTCTTCTCTTCCTTAAATCCCTAGTAAATGAAGGGACTTAAGTGTGAGTATGGAGGGGGGGGGGGGCTAAAATTCCACCATCCCATAATACTTAAAGTTAAAAGTTCAAGAGAGGCTTTACGTGGTCATGTTATACTCCTATTAGCTTGGGTTGGGTTGGGTTAGGTTTTATTATCATAGACTCCTTCCCCCTTCTCCTCTCCTCTCCTCTTCCTATCCTCCTCCTCCTCCTTTTCTTATCTTCTTCCCCTCTCATCCTCTTCTTATCCCCTCTCCCTTATCCGCCTTAGGTCTGGGTTCCACAGTAATATCAGGTGAGAAATGTGGAAACTTTGGCCCACTAAATAGTGAGGTCTTGTCTGACTCCAAGTGGTGTGTGTGGTGGTAGTGGTGTGTGTGTGGTGGTAGTGGTGTGTGTAGTGGTAGTGGTGTGTGTGGTGGTAGTGGTGTGTCTGTGTGGTGGTGTGTCTGTGTGGTGGTAGTGGTGTGTGTGGTGGTAGTGGTGTGTCTGTGTGGTGGTGTGTCTGTGTGGTGGTAGTGGTGTGTCTGTGTGGTGGTAGTGGTAGCAGTGTGGACAGTGGTTGGTGGTAGTCGTGTGTGTAGTGGTGAGTCCAGGGATTACCACAAACGACACTCTTGGTATTGTTTAGTTTTCAGTTGACGGGAGAAGCTTATTTAAACCTGACCTGACCTGACCTACACAACAACTAGTCATAATGTGTGTTTGTGTGTGTGTATCATTAGAGGCGTAAAATACTTTCAAAATAGACCTTAATTATACCTCATCTGGACCTAATCTTTCTCGCATTGTGTTAATATTTATACAAAGATTATGCGTCTGTAAGCATTGATCTAGTTTATCTTATTACACACACACACACACACACACACACACACCTACCTGGTGTTTACACAGACGCGGTCAAGAGAATAATGTCAGGTTGTTGTTGGTGGAGTTGGAGTTGGTCTTAGTAATTCTTGGGTCACTGTACCTTCGATCTTGAGGTGACACCATTACTTCTGGCCCATTAACTTACTCTGCGGCCGTGACTGACTTAACGCCGTGACTGACTTACTCTACGCCGTGACTGACTTACTCTACGCCGTGAGTGACTTTCTCTCGCTACCATTCCGACGCGAGGGAGAGAATGGCGTGGCTCACCCGCGTTATATCCCCACCATAAAGTTGCCTAACAAAAGGCGATTTGATATCCCGTGGACGTAATTTGGCCTCGGCAGCTGGTGTTCGAGACGGTGTGTCTAGACAGATGGTGTACCGGTACCGTATGGAGGGCCGCCCACCCTCCCTGACCCTCAAAGAATCGTACACTGAAATTTTCCTCCAAAGTGTAGATGTGATGGGACCTTTACCTAGCTGATTGACTTAAGATACAACACATGGATGGATGTTACGATGTTCCTGTGACTCTACCTTGGTTTTTAGAAAGTAATATTTTACTGCAGGCATTTTTCGAGACTCTGGACCTCCTGACTGGTAGCGATAGGTTCTGTCTCTCTCTCTCTCTCTCTCTCTCTCTCAAACACACACACATATACAGGACGGTACACCTCTTGAACGGTAGGGAGGTGAGGTACTCTAGTCTACACAGCTGGTACAAGCTATTAGTGCAGAGCCTCAACAGCTGGTGTGTGTGTCAGCTGGGGTTCGCCGTAGTGGGTTTATGGCTCGTCATAACTCTCATTGCTAAAGGTGTGGGGAAATTCATATACAATACCTGTGTTAAGATAAGAGCAGCCCTTACCTGCCCACGCTGGAGATAAGGTAGATCATGTACCGTCTTACCTGTGTTGCTGTACCTCTCTTGTACCGTCTTACCTGTGTTGCTGTACCTCATGTACCGTCTTACCTGTGTTGCTGTACCGTCTTACCTGTGTTGCTGTACCTCTCTTGTACCGTCTTACCTGTGTTGCTGTACCTCATGTACCGTCTTACCTGTGTTGCTGTACCGTCTTACCTGTGTTGCTGTACCTCTCTTGTACCGTCTTACCTGTGTTGCTGTACCTCTCACAATCCCCTCATGGCAGATCAGATTAATTGGTAAACTATAATCTAATCTTTCTTATCATCATCTTATCAAATTATTTCCTGTTCGTATTTTTTCGTGGAAGAGAGTCAGTAGGGACACACAGGTGACGTCAGTTTAATTAACATATATTATACCTGAAGTAGTGTAGTTATGTTAACCTTATCGTGTGTGTTGATGAGTTCCGTTTTCTGTGGATGTAATATATATTTTTAAGGGTGGACTAGTTGATTAGTGATAGTGTTGAAATGGGACTCGATTTGGTGTCCCTGCCTGTACTTATCGCTAACCTAACCCTGGTCCAACAACCCTCTTTGTTAAACACTGCAGCCTCTTCGTTAAGTTGTGATTTATTTAGTTATTTTGAGTCGCCTTCATTATCTTCACTATTTTAAGCTGGTAGCCGCCTCCTCCTCCTCCTCTTTGTGACCCTTCCTGGTACGTACTTGCATCTTGCTTTTGGCCAGTTTTGTGTTTGTGTTATGGTTGTTGTGTCTTTGTTTGTTGTACTTCAGTTTTGTGTCTGAGTGTCCGTAAGTGACCCAGTAGTGTGTCCCATTAGTTGCGTCCCAGTGTTATCGTTGTGTCCCCTGGCGTGTCTTAGGTGTGTCCTGAAGGAGACAGTCCTTCTCTCTGGCTGGCTGGGGCGTCCCTTCAGCTGATCATGAAGGCATCGATCACCACCACACAGGACCCAGTTAGTGTCTCCTAGGTCTCGGTGCTGTTGTTTGGGGTCGGCACGGTGCCACTCCTCTCCGGGGGGGGGGGTCATAGTGCCACTAATGTCCGGTGGGGGGGGGGGAGCGCCACAAGTGTCAATAAAGGTTATATATACTGTATATTGCCGCCAGGAGCCACTTGGTCAGTGTGTACACAGCTGGGCCGGGGCTGCCATCACTCTCTCTCTTATTGGTGATATCTAGAGAGAGCGAAGCCATGTTTGTTTCCTCCTCTCTCTCACTTTTACTTTATTTCCTCATCTCTCTTACTCTTTTTCCTATTCTGTTTGACTCATTTCTCTTCTCTGACTATTACCTCCTCTCCTCTTTTACTCTTCTTTCCTCTTCTCTTGCACTCCGAGTTAACATTATTCCTTCCATTCTTTGTGACACTCTTACTCAGTGTATTAAATAGCATTAATACTTTCTCTCTCTCTTCTTATTATTTATAGTCGGTCTTTAATGTTCCAATCTCGAGGTTAATTTTGTTTTCCCTGTTATTCCTTTATTATTATTATTATTATTATTATTATTATTATTATTATTATTATTATTATTATTATTATTATTATTATTATTATTATTATTATTATTATTATTCCCCTCAACCATAGATGGGTATATATAATGTAAAGTTGGTCTGTCTGTCGGTGTGTATCTGGGTGAGTGGGTCCAGTTTCCGCGACATATCTCCCGAATGGTTGGGAGGATTTGTGTGTGTGTTGTGGTGAGGTGAGGTGACTGTAGTTGGGGGTCAGCAGGACAGGTGGCAGGCAGGCGTGTGGGACGTCCTCTTTAAGGCTAGTTCAGCCTCTCTCTCTCTCTCTCTCTCTCTCTCTGATAATCTCCCCCACCATCATCCCCATTAAACCCCCTCTCTCTCCATCCCCACCACCTGGATAACCCTCCCCCACCACCCCCATTAAACCCCCTCCCCCCTCCTTTCCCTCCCCGTTATTCCTACCTTCAAAGTTTCTAGGCCCGTGTAACACCTTGAGGGGGGGGAGGGAGATAACAAGGAGGAGAGATGAAGGAGAGACGACCTTGCTATAGTAGTGAGTCGTCTGAGAGAGAGAGTGAGAGAGAGAGAGAGAGAGAGAGAGAGAGTGAGAGAGAGAGAGAGACCACCCACAGGTAAGACACAACTGTTTCTTCTGGCCTCATAAATATTCAAGGTCGTGCGTCCGTTTTCTCCGCTTTGATCACCGGACACGTGTCTCTGTTGCTCGTGTCCTCTACCTCACGTCTCCTACCTCTGTCTCCTACCTCACGTCTCCTACCTCTCAGTCTCCTTTCCTCCCACATGTTTACGTACACCGTCCTCCTCCTCCTCAATCTACTCCTTGCATCAGTGACTCGCAATGTGATAGTGAGATAACAGCACTGATAACACGACAGTAAGACTCTAATGGTGGTGGTGGTGGGGTCGAGGATGGTGATAGTGAGATAACAGCACTGATAACACGACAGTAAGACTCTAATGGTGGTGGTGGTGGGGTCGAGGATGGTGATAGTGAGATAACAGCCCTGATAACACGACAGTAACACTCTAATGGTGGTGGTGGTGGGGTCGAGGATGGTGATAGGAGATAACAGCACAGATAGCACGACAGTAACACTCTAATGGTGGTGGTGGGGTCGAGGATGGTGATAGTGAGATAACAGCAGATAACACGACAGTAAGACTCTAATGGTGGTGGTGGTGGGGTCGAGGATGGTGATAGTGAGATAACAGCACTGATAACACGACAGTAACACACTAATGGTGGTGGTGGTGGGGTCGAGGATGGT